TCTTTCTCTGTTTTCTCTTTCTGTTTGTGTCAGAGAGGCGGCCCCTTTAAGAGACTACGGGTCAGTTTGTGTCTTTGGTTATCTAGCTGTATGAGTTTTAATTTCATAAAGCTAGAGAACCGAAAGTATGAACTGACGCCGAACACTTCGGAGCAGGGGGTCCCTGACGCTCGGCATGGAGGAGGAGGGCAGCAGCAGCAGGACGCAGGAGGGACTGATGCTGAAGGAGGCTGAACGCCGCTGCTGCTGCCGATAAGGAGGAGTGATGGTGGAAACAGCACCGGCACGATTTTTAGTGGTGATAGTCCACCTCTTCTAGATCTGCGCTCAGAGGTGCCACCTCGAATGTTACTGCTTATAGTGCTCGTGGTTTGAGCATCGCGGTGATGCTGGGGCCTATTGAGGTTCAATAATCCGGCTTTTTGTTCCACTTTAGGTCTTAAGGGAGTGATGCGTGTGGTGAACATACTAAAAATCCACAGTGCACACTCCTGTGTAGTTGGCTTAACCGTGTGGGTGTTAAAACAGCAATATCTTGAGGGGTGAGACAGAAATAGTTAAAGGATTCATGCGATTGGTCGAACCAGGACTCACGTGACGGTGTTGGCAGCAGCAGCAGATCGCGTTTTAAGATTTCACATGTTGGTTATGACGATTTTCGTAAGCCCCTGAGTTGGTAACCTGTGGCGTTCATTTAAATCAGTAATTTCACTGCATGAATTTATCCTGCAGAGCTGCTGAATCCCGGATTCATATAATTCTTTTATGAGTGGTGTAAGCTGTGAAGACCCATGGCTGTAATAACTTGACATAGGAGTGTGATATATATTTGGGTGCATGTGTACATCACTTGGTACAATAGGAGCATAGAGAGAAGGCATAGGACCGAACTACTGTGTGCTAACATGCTTGATAGAAATAGTGTCTTTCATTCATTTGAGTGTCAGAAGTGTGGGTCGTTTGCTTCTTTGCCAACCCAAGGGTGTAACACATCAGCATCACACTGCATTAGTCATTGAGAGCAAAAGAGCTTGGGCTGTATCCTCAGCCTACTTTGACCATGCTTTCATCACTAAATCCGAATTAGACATGGCAGATATGTTCACATTTGTATTTCGCTGGGTGGGTTATTTTCATGTTTTCCTGCTAGATAAGAACAAAATAGGACATCGGCTCCTGGTTTGATCTATTCTTAGAGCAGAATCAGCAAGCCTTGGAGATGACTGAATATCCCTGAAGTCCCAGCATGCTCTATTTAGACCATGACTGACAATATTTGATGTGCACTGTTAAACAAGAGAGCTCGGATGGTGTGTGACTCTGTGTGTGTGTGTGTGTTGTTGACGTTGTGTTTGATCCTGTATATATCATTTAGCTTCCACATCCTGCATCTTGTTGTGTTGCAAAGAAAATCAGGAGGTAAAATATTGTGGGATTATAGAGACCTTTTGTTCAGTTCCACAGACCACAGTGATGTTTTGAGAATTTATATTCAGTTTTTATTTTCACATTCAATTCTGTATTTTAGTGGCTTGATGTTTCCCAGATGGAGCATGCTCTATACCATCTGTTTGGGGTATAGTTTTTCACTAACAGGGTAGCTTTTCCGTGGCATTTTGTAATCTTCACTCTCCACAAACACTTTCCCCAAGCATGATTTACTGTACACAGCAGAAAGTATCTAAATTTAACCTCACAAAACAATGAGAAGTGCATGGAAGGAAACAAATTTAGAAGACTGCTGTTAGCTGCAACGTCAGCACAGATGTACTTACTGTATACTGTCTTCTGTCTTACATTTTCCTCTTCTGCCTTGTGAGCCACTTATTTATTCCTAAAATGTATGATGTTTTAATAAAAATTAGAGCAACCACTGATTCCCTTTTCTTTTGTCTTGAAAGGAAAATGCCAGCCACATCAGCTTTAAAGCTCACATCAACTCACAGTAAAGACAAACTTCCACCAGAGGATGAGGAGCTACAGTCATCCTGCAGGTAAATATTTAAAACAAGCGCACGTGCAAGATGAATACAGATGTGGGTCGCTTCCATATGAGCAACAGCTTATGATGTTGCCAAGGACATAAGCAGTTCACTTGTTCTGCCTTACATATTTATTTAGTTAAGAAAAAGGTTCAGGTCACTGGAGGCTTGAAGATAGGTCATTAGCTAGCACTGGTGCAGCTTTGCTGGTTGCTTGTGTCTATATTTTGTAGACCTGAGAGGATGGAGTTTTTTTTGTCTCTATGTGTGTGTGTGTGTGTGTGTGTGTGTGTGTGTGTGGCTGTGAAAACAAGAGAGACAGACTGAGGTTTTTGTGTTTTGCATCAAGAATGATTTTTTAAAGTGTGCAGTAATACTCGCCATCTTATTCAAATGAAAAGGAGTATTAGGAGGGACATTTACTGGGATTTTTATTTGTACATAGTGTGAATGTCATTTTTATACCATTCCAGCATAGCTCCGAAAATATCTGGGTTGTAGCTGCAATTGACTGTGGCCTACAAGAATAGAGAAAGTGTAAACAGTGTGATTTAAGACCTTCATGTTGCATCATTCCTTCCTCCTTTGAAGTATTAACATTTTTACATTGTACATCACCCTCCATCCTCCTCACACACACACATACACACACAGCTCTCGCTTTCATTCTCATACATTCAGCATTTTATCCCTTTAAACACTGTGATCCTATTTGTCAGGTAGAGTGTGTGGTAGGTGCAGGGGAGGTGGCCGTGTAATCTTCGCTGCGGTTCTTTATCCCGTTAAGAGAGTGCAGGCACAGGGCTCACCCAAGGTTTGGACTACTCATGGGGAAACAGCGTTTGGGTGGCTCTGTCCTTTTTCCTCCAAATACCTTGATGAGCCACGCTCCCCTTGTTAAAGCCTACTGATTACTGTGAACAAAGTATCAGCTTGCATATAGTTCATGCATAATTCAACAATGGTAGTATTAAGTCAAAATGCTTGAAAAATACAATAAATTGCACGAGAAGTCTACTGTGAGATAATCAGTACAGTGAGAGGTTTTTGGTTTCACCCTAGCATTTTAATAAAAATTCTCAATTTTAAGGCTTCTGGGGCG